AAGGAGGTTACACCTTTCAGGCTCCCATCAATGGTGTGTGAGCATGTTTGGCTACCCTATTCCTACCAATTCTGTGTATTATCAATCCTACTGAAACTTACCTGATACTCAAAAGGAGAAGACACTGAAATCATGTTTTATTTGCATTTCCTTAAGTAAGAGATAGTAATTTCTTCATATTTATGACTATATTTCTTATTTTGTAAATTATAATTGAGTCCATTGCCTGTTTTCCTCCTAATTTTTTTTCTTACTGAATTATGAGGTCTTTTTTTTCTTTAGTAAGAAAATCAATTCTTTGTTATTTTGGCTGAGCATACTTTTCCTGGAAGTTTTTCTTTAGAATTTGATTATAATCTTTATCATCTCAAAATGTGTATATGTACATTTAGTCATTTCTTTTATGACATATATTGACATATGCAGACACATATTGCAGGTACATATATGCATATAATCATGTATATGTTTTGATTTACAGTTCAAAAAGCAGTTCTTATTTCAAAATTAAAAAATACCTTGCCATTTATTTCTTTTAGTCTAGTATTTTTAATTTTATTTTTACATTTTATCTTGGGTCCTCTTGTAATTTAAGTTGGTGTAAGGGTTAAGCTGGGATTCAGGTGATTTTTCCAAATGGTCAACTAGTTGTCTTAATGCCATTTATGGAGTTATCTGTCTTCGAAATGTCAGCCTGAATATGTACTAAAAACCTAGATCTACTTTGGTCTATTTCTAAACTCTTTATTCTGTTTCATTGATCAACTTGTCTATTCCTAAAGTAGAACTACACTGCTAATCACATTTTTCAAAGATTCCATATTATTTTTAGTCTATTCTGTCATTGACTGAAAATATTATCAGTGAATTCCCCCATTGAATTTCCAAATGGATTTTACTCATATTATATCATCTGGTACATAAAAACCCATCATTATTATATTAAATCAGGGACTTAAATTTTTACTGATATAAAATTTCGCTTTCTCGCTCAATACTTTTTGCTAGAACTCTAACTGGATAGATTCTAAAGTAGTTTCCCATGTTTTCTTTTGATGTTCACTTCCCAAATACACCTTTTCTGACTTTATATTTTTTACACCCTTACTATTTTTTAAAATTAATTCAACCTGATTGGCTTTTACACTTAATAAAACAACCTAATTATATTTCTTGTCATAATTAGTTGCCTGTGTTTCTGTTATCTTATTTGATATATTGTGCTTTTCTTACACTCCTACTTATTTTTTTATTATTTGCATTATTGAATACACTTTTATGTTTGGTATGGTCTTTCTGAGAAATTTAAAGAGTAAGATTTCTTCCTTTAATTCTATTGTGATTTAATTCTACTTGTGATTATCATCAAATTTTTCAAACTTACAGTGTCATAATCTATAGCAGAGCAAGATTTTTAGTTTTTGACTGAAGTCAGCATATTGTACAACCTTCCCCGCTTCCCACCATAATCTTTGCTGTATCAACTCTGACACTGATACTTCCTTTCTTTTCTCTCCCTCTTTCTTATTTTCTCCCTTTCTTCATTCCTCTTTTAACTATTCTATAAAAATGTAACAAACATAGAGAAGTTCACAAACAATATAGACAGCTCAATCAAATAACCAAAAGCAACTAGAAAAACTATATATCCTTATGATAACTGTCCAGCCAGAAGCCCTGCTCATGGGCCAATCAGAACCTCTTCCCTAATCACCAAACTTAATCAGCACTCTAACTCAGAGTAATCACTACCTAGGGTTTCTTTATCATTTTCCCACTCAAAACATGACTTTTCTAAATAGTATTGTTATCTTTTCCTGCTTTTTGAACTTGATATAAATGAAATCGTACCCTATGTAGGCTTCTGTACGTTTTTAATTTAACATTATCCATGCTTTAGCCTGTAATTTTAGTTTGTAGTTTCCAATAAGACTTTTGCTTCATCTTTATATTTATTCCTATGTAACTTGCCTTTTTCTTCTGATTGTTTTTGAATTTTTGTTTATCACTGGGGTTGAGCAAGGTGATTACAATGTACTCGGTTATAATTTTCTTTACCTTTCTTGTGCTTTGGGGTTGTAGAACTTCTTGGCTATGTGGGTTCATAGTTTTCATCAAAGTTTTGAAAATTTCAACTATTTTTACTTCAAGTATTTTTTTCCTCCTCCTTTCCCATGCTTGCCTACAGAGATTTCAATTTATGTATATTGGAATTGGTATTACCTTTCACGTTCTTCTGTAGCTCACTGATGATCTTTTCAGTTTTCAGTCATTTATTCTCTGTGTTTCAATTTGGATAGTTTCTATTGCTACATCTTCAAATCCACTAATCTTTTCTTCTGCAGTGGCTAATCTGCCATTATTCCCATCAAGTGTAATTTTCATCTCTAGAAATTCAATTTGGGTCATTTTATATCTTTAATATCTCTGACATAAACAATACTTCTTTTAGCTTTCAGAAGATGTGGAATACAATTATAATACCTTTTAACATGGCTTTTCATATTCATTATGCTATCTGTGCCATTTCTGAATTGATTTATATTAACTGACTTCTCTTCTCTTATAGGTCATACCTTCCTGCTTATTCTCAAAATTGGTATCATAGGGGCACCTGGGTGGCTCAGTCGATTAAGCTTCCGACTTCAGCTCAGGTCATAATCTTGCGGTTCGTGGGTTCGAGACCTATGTCAGGCTCTGTGCTGACAGCTCAGAGACTGGAGCCTACTTTGGATTCTGTGTCTCCCTCTCTCTCTGTCCCTCCCCTGCTCACGTTGTCTCTATCTCTCAAGAATAAATGAACATTAAAAAAATATTTTCTAAAAAGAATTGGTATCACTGATATTTATTTAGACTTATCCAATAATTAGTATTTACTATGCTTGTAATTCTTTTCACTTGTTCCTTCTAGTACATTTGTGATAGACTTTATCGTTCTAGCCTCTGTATTTGTTCCCTTTCTTCAGCATTTGCCATCTCTACTGTTTTTACTTTGGATATATTCTTCTGACCTAAATTATAGTTCACAAATTCTCTTTTAGTTGTATCTAATATGTGGTTAAACCATGAATCTATTCATTACATTCTTCATTTCAGTAATGGCATCTTTCACTTTTAGACTTTCCTTTATTTTTCTTTTATGTTGTTTTGTTTTGTTTTGAATTTCCAGTTCTCAGCTAAGTTTTTCAGTTTTGTCTTTATCCCCTGTAATAGCAGTCAGCAAAATTATTTTAAACTTTATACTTTATATACTTTATTTATATAATCTGTACTTTATTTCTATACTTTCTATACTGTATTTTATAATAACTCTAATATTTTCAGCCCCAAAGGGCCTATTTCTCTTGACTGTTTTTTATGTTATCTTGTTTCTTTTGGTGGGGGGTGGTGGCTACTTTTTTTTTTTTTTTGTATGTGTGTGCTGAACATTATGTTTACCAAATAGTTTTTGTAAATGGCTTGACATCTGTAATACTCTTCCTTTTCCATCTAATAAATGTTTTACATTTGTTTTTCTCAGGTGCCTATAGGGACTAGCAGTCTGGGTTGGTCTTAGTTTAATTTGAGGATTGAGATGATTCAAAGCTGGGCACCAGTCTTTCAGAAAGCTGGTCTACTGTGGGTTCATTATTTCTGTTAGGGTACATATCTTTGGGGTTTCAACACAAAAACTAAGGGTTTACCGTGTTCCCTTGCCATTGTCAGCAATGGGACTCCAGATACCTTTTGTAGGATCAGCAAATGACCTAAAATAAAAACAGCTTCAATTCTGCGCTCACATCCCTGGATATGTATTTTTTACCAGAACCTGGTCTGACAATTCTTCACTATCTTGTTAGCTCTCTGTTGCCTTTAAACAGAGCCCATAATTTTTGTTCATTTGTTTGTTTGTTTTGTTGGTGTAGGTTGTCTAGTTATCTTCAGTGACAATAATCGTCTATTTAGACTTTCATTCCTGAAAACACAAGTCTTTCCTTTTTCTTTCTCATTTTGAAACAACACACCATAATTTTCAAAGATAAAAGCAAAACTTTAAAACATTCTGATACCAAGTTTGAAGCAACTATTTCAACATTTTCATACATATAATGAGTCTCTTATCATATAGTCATTTGCAAGTGAGTCTTTCTCAGTCTTGACTTTTTCCTTCCTTTCTATATTTCTTGTTTTTGCACAGGATTTTTGTTAGTTTACTCAGAACGGATACTTGAGGGGTGTATTTTCTTAATCTATGTATTCCTGAGAAAATATTACTCTTGACTTCATGCATGAATAATGACTTCACTAAATATAGAAACTGTGTCCTTCAGAGCAATGGAAATGTTACCCCATTTCATCTAGTATTTAGAATTGTAGAAGAAAGCTAATGCTAATCTGATTTTGGTACTTTGCTTGTAACCTGATTTTGATTTTCCTTTTTTTTTTTTTTTTTATCACTTATCTTCAGAAATTCCATGAGGCTTTGTAGATTTCTGTTCTTATTTGAGTTTTCAGTATCTTGGCCTATAAATATGTGTACCCTTGTGTTTTGGGTGGAGGAGCTGGTTTGCATTAGGAAAACCTTTTTTCTCTTATTTTTCTAAAGATTGTTTCATTTCTGTTTGTTCTAGTCTCTCTTCTTGGTATTCTGAGGATATGTAGATTCAGTCTCCTAGATATATTCTCTATATGTCTCACATTTATTCTCATTGTTATCATACCTTCATTTCTGTAGTTGTACACCCAATGTCTATAGAGTATAGGCAGGTAACTAAAATAAATAAATCCAGATGGGTACAAAAATAAGTGATGAGGATTGTGGAGAGCAAATTTCCCTTCCAAACTTGGCAGGTACCAATTACTTGATATTCATAGCTAATAAAATAGTATCAGATTCCATTCTGTCTCCAGAAAACCTAAAATTCATGTTTTTGTTGTTGTTGTTGTTTGTTTGTTTGTTTGTTTTTTAATGTAGTAGTTCTCAGTAGAAGAAAAAAATGAAAAAGGAGTTCACAACTTACCATTGGGATGATCTTGGTCACACACAGAATGATCTGTTACTTCATCGTCTTTTGTAATACTATCGTCCTTTGCAGAATCTGACATGACAAACAAGCAAAACCTCTAGTCAGCATTTTTTAAGTTTATTATTTGTTTTGAGAGACTGCGCATCTGGGGGAGGGACAGAGAGAGAGGAGAGAGAAAGAATCCCAAGTAGGCTCCGCACTGCCAGTGCAGAGCCCGATGCAAGGCTCGGACCCACAAAGCCACAAGATCATGACCTGAGCCGAAACCAAGAGTCAGATGCTTAACCGACTGAGCCACCCCTAGTTAGCATTTTTAACTAGGAAGTAGGGCAGCTTCCAGCACTGACATGATAGCTCTATCTTTGGGGAATGTAATTTATTATTTTTAAAAAATATCATTAAAATACCTAAATATTTTCATCGATAAATAAGCTGTTCCTAAAGTACTGTGTAAGATGTTTGTACGAAGTTTACAAAAGTAAAGATGGTAGAAATTTGATTGGGTCATCTTTTTGCAACAAAGAAGAAAATATAAGCAGGCTTTACGTATTAGTGAAAGTCTTTGGAGAATTGTGCAAAAGGATATGAAAGGAAGGCAAAGTAGAGGAGATTAAAGGAACATCAGTTTTAATGTTCTTAATGCTTCCATTACTGCAATTGTTCATGTATGGGAGCCTTGAGTCCCTGAAAAAGCCAGATGCAGACCTTTGAAATCCAGTTGTAATTAAGTTCATCTTCCTGAGGAACCCTACCAGTAGAACAACAGCAAAGGGGAATGCAAACCTTCTGTTCTGGGCAATTTCATCCTCTCCCTCGAATAGCACATTTAAATGTGAAATCAGCATAAGTTCTTCTTTTGTTATATGATACACTTACAGGAAATAACATGGCCAACTAGATTTCAGTGACTATGGACTCTTACAAGACTACACAGGATTCCTTGTTGGATATTTGAGGCCTCCTTGTAGGCTCTTTAGAAAGCCATTGGAAACAGCATGTCGGTGGGTTAGTGGCAAGACAGAAATGGGTCTTTCATTCATTCCAAAAATATTTATTAAGGGCCAATTCTACACCAGGCACTTCTTGAAGCTGGGGCGTCAATTGTAACTGACTCTGCACTCCTAGAGGTCATAATCTAGGGCGTATTTTCATGCAGCTAAAAGGGTGGTAATCTATAGATATCTAAAAGCCATGAGCTAATCTTCCATGAATATGGCCATGGAGAAAACTGGGGATGGCTGACTGATACTTCTATTACAAATGGGTTCTCTACTAAGTTCACATTGCTCCACTGAGTTGCAACTCTGAACAGAGTGGAATTCAGATGGAGTCTCAAATAAATCATTTTTCCTTTGTTTCCTTATTCTTTTTCCCTCTCTCCCTCCCCACACTTGGAGATAGTTTTAAACAATATGGTTTAGAATATTATGAGAAAGTTTGTTTCTTGAACCTGCCACAAGCAACATTTGATGGACAAGTGAGAAACCTGGGTAGTTAACATATGATTCAAATTTAATAACCAGTGAAGCAAGTATACACCCAAAGTGTATGATTTTAATTAACTGCAAATAATTCCCCCAAGGCAAATGTTTAATTATCTGCACAGCTTCTTATTTCTTTTTGAGACTGACAGTAAGTTTCAAAGTCCAAATTTGGAAGCAAAAGTGAACATAGACACATTTTCCAAACAGTTTTCTCACTCAAGTCAAAAATTTTTAAACCAGTTCCCATTAAAACATGCCTTTTTAATTTTGGCTCTAACATGTGGATTAAAAACAAATCCTTGAATACTTTCTTCCACATTAACACTGAAAGTGAACAATGATTTTAAAAAGGTGCTATATGAATCAGGCTAAATTTTAATTTCGAAAATTTTATTTGTTTATAGAAAATGGCATCATTTGATATGTAGTCTTGGGCAATACTCATTTCCCTCAACATTAATGTTTTAAGATGATCCAAGATTTTGCATGTGTTTAAAATATATTTATTTACAATCCACAATAATTCATTATACTTTATAATTTACATAAACATTATGTTTCACGCACCAAATATTATATAAGAAATGTCTTTTAAAAAGTGATTTACATTGAGTTTATTGGTTTAATTATTCACATATGATGGGTGATAGTATTTGAAAAATCAATCTCTAGACTATCACTAAAATCTATGTCTCTAGCAAATTAATTGAACTTTCAGTTTCAATTTCCTTGGAGAGTTCTTTTAATATTGCTAAGGTAGGTGTCTTCTGATATTATGTTCTCTAATCTATATGTAACGTATTTCATTGAATCCAAGACGGCATCAATTGTTATTTTCACCATTATATAGGATTAGAAAAAAAATGCTACCAAATGGAGTATAAATAACACACTATTAATTTAAGAATGTGTTCTAGTTTTAGAAATAAAATATATAAAACACTATGTATATTGTAGAACTATATTCTGTGTGTACACAAATACATGTCTTTATGTGACGGCAAGGATTTCCTATCAACACGACCCATCGCCGAACCCACAAGTTAATATTGCTTTGTATTTTAAATGGTTGCACCTCCACATACAACAATAAAGCTAGATGAAAGCGGTAGGACCATGACCGCATCCACACATGACCACGTGGTTACGAAAGACTGTTTCCATTGCTGTTTCTCTTTCCAAAGGGCTATTTGAATTCCTAGTCACATGAACCTTGGCAAGATTGGATGTTGAATGTTTTAAATCATAGATCCTATTGTATTATACTTAGTTGGGGGTTTGAAATGACAGTGGAGCTTTTGTGTCTAGGGGGTGATGAAAGTTGCACTGTGTATGTATCAAATATTATTCATAACGAGAAAGTAAGAAAATATATCTAGTATAGATGGTCACTAAAAGAGTGTATTATTTCTATGTGAAAAATGTAGTGGTATATACTAAATTCTTGCAGTACCTTGGATTCATCTTATTTTATTCTAAAAATTATCATGTGGTAATGTTCAAAAAATGTAAAGGGGTTATCACCTAATTCTGAGATTCAGTCAATGCTACTTTAATAGCAGAGAACTGGAATTAAATTTATATGTAGATTCTCACTTTCAAAATCTTTAAGGTCAATGTTCTATTAGAAAATTTTTTCAAATGCAAATATTAAGTTAAATATTCAAGCCAAAGTTCTGAAGATAGATTCTCTTCTAAGATTAACAAGAATAAAAAGATATACTTTCATAAATTAAAACAAAATCTCCTCATTTAAGAAGTTGAAAAGGTTTAAAAGAATATTTAAAATAGATTAAAATTAAAAAAAAAAACCATAAAACAAATTCTAAACAGTAGGCCATTTTTAATGCAGTCAATTACACATATCGATATGGAATAGTATGTGGATAGATTGAAGATGTGATGGTAAATGATCAAACTATTGAATTTTCAATACACATATCTAAACCATAAATAAAAATAGGTACTATCACTTTTGAAAATGTCCCCTTAACAACAAAAGTTCTTAACCTTAGTTAAGAACTTAGTTCTTAACCCTTGAATATACTCTAGGGGTCCACAAACCTTTTTGAATTGATATGTAAAATGTATACATATATCGTTACTCATTTCTCTAGAAATAGATTGCTTCCATCATATTCTCATATGTCAGCAAGGTTAAAAATAACTATAGAAATTTACATCTTAATGCTAGTGACACTGCTATTTTACAAAAGATTTTTAAGATTATAATTGAGAATTATCCACAGAATTTGATGCCCGCTTCATGAATTTATAAGTGATGTCTCTTTTTGAATTTTTTTTTTTTTAATTTTTTTTTCAACGTTTATTTATTTTTGGGACAGAGAGAGACAGAGCATGAACGAGGGAGGGGCAGAGAGAGAGGGAGACACAGAATCGGAAACAGGCTCCAGGCTCTGAGCCATCAGCCCAGAGCCTGACGCGGGCTCGAACTCACGGACCGCGAGATCGTGACCTGGCTGAAGTCGGACGCTTAACCAACTGCGCCACCCAGGCGCCCCTCTTTTTGAATTCTTAAGGTAGATTTGACTTGAGGAAATAGCTAAAAACATACACAGATGTGTTTAATAAATGAAGTGGGCAATCCAGCTGGTAAACAACATTTTGCGTCAAATATAGAAATGACTATAAAGTACAAAATGGAATGGTGATTAACAGTCTTTGAAAACATTTTCAAGTCAGGAGATGTGCAAAAATCCATCTAGTAAAAAAGGTAATCCCTGCCTACTATTTTGAATTGCAGCAAGAGGTCATGTTGGTGCAGAAGTTCCAAGGAGTCTGAACAAAATACATGCTATTTACAAACACCTATGCCTGATCTATTTGCTTTGTAGCATGGACACATTCATACATGAGTCTCCTACCTTGATGCAAAAGTTGCCCAGAAACACAGTTACCTGGATTTCCTCTGATTCTTGTCAACTGTTTCGATTACAAGAAGCAAAACATTTATCCTGGCCTGCTCATTTGAATCGCTGGTTTATTATGTGAAGCAATTAGAATGAAGTAGTTTTTCCTCCATCTGAACGGTGTGTTTATCCACAATAAACTAGAGTCTTCACAGCCGATTATGGTCTCACTGAAGCTTTGCAGTGACTATTCTTCTATATAGGAAAAATATATCCTGCAATACATTTCCAGAGTATTCCGATGGCAATGACCTAAACTGTAGTTGGTCTCAGTGCAGCTGGATATACAAGGCTGCTCTATATTTACCTGAAAAGTAACTGGGTCCGTAGGACAGGCCGTTGCCCTGAGCACTGGGAGGCCAGACTGAGCTAGGATCGGTCATTTGTCTTCATTATGCAATCATTAACCCCCATTAAAAGGGGCCAATCATTCCCAGAGTTATGGAATCCGGGTACTAACAGTCTCTGAGGCACAGCTGAGAAAACTACCATCATGTACCACTAACTTTGCTTCTATTAGAAACCACATGCCAAATTCCAAACAGTAACTTGTGTAAACCAGCTGATACCTACACTGGAGGTGGTATTTTTCTGCGGTTGTTATTGAAAATATAAGCAAGTAAGAGGATCAATCGTGACAGATGGACACTGGCTTGGG